TTTGCTTTTTGAGACAGGGTCTCAACAGGTAGTTGAGACTGACCTGGAACTCACTAAGTAGCCCAGGCTGGTCTCACACTCATAGCAATCCTCCTGCCTCAGCCTCCCAAGTACTGGGATTACAGGTGTGTGCCACCACACCCGGCAAAGGGCCGATATTCTTAAATCTTCAGGGGCTCTGGAGATGGGAACAGCTGCCTAAATTTTGATAGACACAGCACAGCCCTTTCACTCAGGAATTTCACTGGGACACAGAGGATACCAAGCTATCTGGTCCCTAAAACCCAGGGTCTGGCTCAGAACCACTCTTGCAAAGCCCAGAAACTTTTAATCCTAGAGAGACAGAAAGCAGTGGACAGACCTTCATAGACTGTATATATCATGAAGCTGGACTAATCTGTCTACCTCTTGATTTCCCACATCCCACAGTTCCTGGAATCCATAGTAGTCTGCTGAGTGTGTGAAGGAAGCAATGAGTTCGGCTTTACCTGTAGAGACCAGGTTCCTGAAGTTTTCAAGCATCACATCTCTGTACAGACTTCTCTCAACAGAATCCAAAAAGACCCATTCTTCTGGACTAAACACCATAGCCACATCCGCAAAAGTGACTGGTTCCTAAAATACACACTCATCCTGGCTCAGCCAGTGAATCTACACCCCAACAAAATGAAAGAGTATGGGTGTTGGCAGGCCTAGAGAAGGCCCACACAATGAGGGTTTTCAGAGTCGGCTTTGTGCTCTTTGGAATCTAGCCTTGAGCCAAAGCATAGTAATTTTGGCCGGGGATTTAGCTCAGCAGTTCGGTGGCCTGCCTTGCAAGCTCAAGGACCCGAGTTCAATCCCCGGTACCAAAAAAAAAAAAAAAAACACAAAAAAACAAAGCATACCAATTTTATCTCTCAGAGGCTGAGTATACCTCAGAGGCAGAGCACATACCTATCATAAACTAAGCCAGTGGTGGCAAACCTGTCTCAGTGGGCTGTTTATCACTAAAGCTCTAAAAGGTTCACCATCACTGCACTAGGTCCTAGGTTTACTGATAAAGAATCAGAAAGGTTCTCCTTCAACTCACTACTCCCAAAATAAGAGCTTCTAAAATAAGAGCTTCATGCCAAAAGACCTTTACTTCACGAAAGGACTTACCTACCTACAACTAGCTAACAAGTCCTTGCTGGTACGTCCCACCTAGCTGTAGGGACCAGCAAACCTGAGCATGATGCATAGGAGAAATATCTGTTAAGTGAGTTCTGTCTAGGGAGACGATGAAGCCCAGGAAGCAAGGACAGCTCACATCCTTGCTCTGTCTTCCCTCCTGGCCCTCAGCAGCTTGAAGAGGGCCTGAATGAGAGGGCAGGATTGTTGCTTAGGCTGCATGAGGTCCAGCTCCTGGTAGTCTGGAGATCAGCCCTGTGTGTAGGACCAGGCAGGTCATGTAAAGAGGCAAGCCCAACCTCTGGCACAGCTGCTCTTTGGGGTCTAAAAGGATCACTTATTTACCTGGGACCAGGTAGTTGGCAACCCACGAGCCCTGGCTTCTTCCTTTATGGCATCCACTTGGAGCCAGGCAGGGTCCCGAGAAGGCAGAGCTGGGGGAGAAGAAATGAGGCATGACGGTCAGTTCCTGGCCGAGTGACCACATGGAACACACATGCACACTCACAGGGACACACACATGCACACAGAAACAGGTGCACATGCTCTTGTACACACATGCATGTGCACACACACCTGCATGCACATAAACATGTAGATATATACAGACATGTACATGGTCTTACACCCACATGGCATGCCACACCTTCCATTCTAAATCCAGGAGCCACAATCTCAACTCACTAGCAGATGCTGAAGGTCCCATGTTGGAAGGACATAAATTTTGGAGGAGCCATATTATGAATTGAACTGTGCCCCCGCCTTCAATAAGAAATTCTAATCCTCAGTACTTCAGAACGCTACATTATTTGGAAATAGGGTTGCTGCCAATGTAACTAGATATGATGAAGTCATCATGGGGCAGGGTGGCCTTTAATGCACTGACTGTGCCCTTATAAGAAAAAGAGAAGAGCCCTTTTGCAGCCATGACTGGAGCTACAATGGCCAAAATGAAGTTCAATCCTTTTGTGACTTCCAACCGAAGCAAGAACTGTAACAGACATTTCAGTGCACCTTCCCACATTCGCGGGAAGATTATATCTTCCCCTCTTTCCAAAGAGCTGAGACAGAAATACAATGTTCAATCTATGCCCATCCAAAAGGATGATGAGGTTCAGGTTGTGCGAGGACACCATAGAGGTCAGCACATTGGCAGAGTAGTCCAGGTTCACAGGAAGGACTGCGTCACCTACACTGAACGGGTGCAGCGGGAAAGGCAAATGGCACAGCTGGGAATGTGGGCATTCCCAGGTCATCCCCAGGCTAAAACCGGAAAAGACCACAGAAAGAGCTTGGAACCGAAAGCCAAATATCACCAAGTAGGAAAGGAAAAAGGCAAATATAAGGAAGAAACAATTGAGAAAATGCAGGAATAAAGTCCTCTTGTATACAACTTTAATTAAAATTGCTAAAAGGAAAAGAGAAAAGAAAGAAGTGTCACAGAGACCGACACTGAGGGAGTTGGCCCTAGACCATGCAGGTAGATGGGAGAAATGTCAAGGAATGCCACGCTCTGCCTGCCAGCTCCAGAAGTCAGAAAGAGGCAAGAAAGGAGCCTCTCCTAGAGGAACCATGACCCTGCCAACACCTTGGTCTTAGACAGACGAAGGAGATGGGGCAGGGGATGGAATATAAATAAATGAGTGAGAATGAACTGTTTTATTCCCAAAGCCTTTTCTTCCCACCATACCCTCCACGTCAGTAAGTGGCATCCATCCCTACCTCTGATCACCCCTCCGATACTCAGTAGACCCCAACAAATAATACAAAAAAAAATCAAACTCTGGGATGTCAGCTCTACATGAAATAGCCTCCCAAATCCCCTTTATCCCACCTGGTCCCTGCTGTGGCTAATACCTATTCATCTTTTTTGGGGGGGGATCCAATTAAATGTCATTTTTGGGATCCACTTAACTGCCCCTCCTTGAGGTCCCCTCCTCCACAGAAAGTGCCCAACCCTTCTCTTTTCTAACAGGAACCTGTCCTTTCTAATTCGTAACCAGATGTGGCTCAGTAAGTGTTTCTTTTCCATCCCCCTCAGTGGGTTGCATGCTTTATAAGAACCAGCCCATAGGAGAAGTGGGAAGGATAGGGGAAAGGAAGTAAGGGATGAGAAAAGGAAAAAATGGAAACAAAGTCTTTGTAAATAGGGGAGAGTGGAGGGGGTGAAGGGAGAGCAGGGGAATAGGGAAAAAATGAGAACCAAGATCTGTTATGTAAAGGTACAAGATCCCAATGATGAAAGTAACTGTACTGTATACTTAAAAAGTACCCATAAACTCAATAAGATTTAAAAAAAAAAAAAAAAAAGAACCAGCCCAGTGCTTCTCATTTTACCAACCTGACCCTCATACTGTGCACATGCATCCTCTGTATCATCTGGTAAATGAATAAATATAAGAATCACCAAATTACCTCAACTCAAGCTCCTATCCATGTCTTAATCATCCTACACTTCCCTACTATATAGAAAAGAATGGGCTTGCATGGCAGCCCGGACTCTCCTTAGCAAGTCAGCCCTTGGGTCGTGTCACAGATGTGGACTTGGAACCCCCAACCTTCCTCACTGCTAAGAGGAACTCACTCTGTTTACTGCTTGTACAGTGTGGTATATGCTGAACTGCTTTGCTTCTGCAAGTCTGGAATTCATGAATGTGCTGGGCAGAAGGTGCCTACATGACCAGGCCCCAGTGGAAACTGTGGTGATGGACTCGTCTCTTTAATGAACCCCCTTGGTAGGCAACTGGGCACGAAAGCTGTCTCAATCAGTGTTGGAGAAATTAGGTTGTCCTGTGTGAAATGAAATGTCCCCCAAAAGCTCAGATGTTGAAGGCTTGGTAAAACTTCGGAGGTGGGGTCTAGCGTGAGGAAATTAGGTCATGGGGGTGTGCCCTTCAAGGGGACTTCAGGACCCTCCCTCTCTGTTTACTTCTTGGCCTGCGTGAAGCAAGCAGCTTTCCTCTGCCACATACTTCCACCGTGGTGTAGTGACTCAACACAGGCCCAAAGCAAGAGACCAAGTGGCTGTGGACCAAAACCATGATCCAAAATAAACATTTCCTTAAATCTAAGAATTGCACATTGTTAGAAATGTAAAAGAGATTCAGAACACAAGCCTGGATGATAGTGTTAAAAAACAAAGTTTATTTTTCTCACTAGAAGGCAAGATAGAAGAAATAAATGTTTTGGGCCAGGGATTTAGCTCAGTTGTTCTGCTGCCTGCCTCGCAAGCACAAGGACCTGAGTTCGATCCCTGATATCAAAAAAAGAGAAAGAAATGTTTTGCCATTAATGATAAAATAGTTGTCTGCTGGAATCAATTTTCTTCCCCTACTTCTCAAGAGATGTAGCTTTTAATGTCATTTTTTTAAAGGTTCAGGCCATTAAAACACAGGCCATTTCTAGTTAATTTGATTGTAATTTTCAAATCCAACATAATTAGGTAATAAAAAGTGTAATAGTGTTCAAACTATTCTTGATAATGAAGGAATTATACTACTATCATCTTAGCCAAGTCACAACTAGTTGAAGCCTCAAGATGATGGGCCCTTAGCTGGGCGTGGTGGCACATGCCTGTAATCCCAGCATTTGGGAGGCTGAGGCAGGAGGATCACTGTGAGTGAGAGACCAGCCTGGGTTACATAGTGAGTTCCAGGTCAGTCTCAACTACATAGTGAGACCCTGTCTCAAAAAACCAAAAACCAAAAAACAAAAACAGAAGATGATGGTCCCTTGTTAAAGAGTTGGAAATATGGGAGTCAGAACTGCAACCCGCACCCCCATTCCCCGTGGTGACCAAGATTTACAAGTTCTTGTTAAAATAATGAACTTAATCAGGTAAATACATGTAGGCATAACAGCCCAGTGGTCAAAAGTTACAAAGCAACCCTGACTCAGGATGGCCACTATCTCTATAAAACCCCATAGTTTGTAATAGTACCATTCTGGTTTAGTGCCCAATGGTCCCTCTCAGGTTTTAACCCCATTAAAGACTGTCCTCTACAGTGGAGATCGACTTCCTTCATTTTTTTCTGAACAGATAGATGCATTATTTACACACAAAAAAATACTATTTTTCAATGTTAAAAAAAAAAGAATTTAATGTTGACCAGAGACGTCTGGGCTGCCTCTTACGTTTTGTTTTGTTTTGCTTTTTCCTAATTAATTTGTTTTTTATTTTTTAACTGACAAAATTTGTTCATGCCTTAATGAATGTATGCACGGCCTCACATGCTCATGGCCTTGTTTTAGTGTTTTGTTTTTTGTTTTTTTGTTTTTTTGGGTTTTTTTTTTTTTTGGTACCGGGGATTGAACTCGGACTGCTGAGCTAAATCCCTGGCCCCAGCCTTGTTCTTTCTTAACCAAAATATCAGTGACCAAAAATCAATAAGGAATTCCAGCCCCAATGCTAAAAAAGATCCTTTCCCCTGCAATGGACAAATACTAGAAGACAGCTTTATGTGCTCAGTCATAGGGCCTGGAGGGAGAGGACATGAAGGAGGAAAGGGATATAAATTCCCAGACAAAAGACAGGGAAGCGGCCCTCTGACGGCACGTCTTATTCAAGGACTCACTTGCCAGAGCCCTGGCCACCCAGCCTGGGCATCGGCATCACCACCCTCTGGATCTGCACAACCATCTTCTGTCCCTGGACAGAGGGGCAGGGGCCACAGGTCAGTCACACCTTGTGCAAGGGGCTGCATTACACCTACCTGAATTTGCATGACTGGACCTGCTTTGGGGAAAACACTGTGTTGTCTTTACTTTTATGAGATTTAGCCAAACTTTAAATACTAAGCTAATCACTGTGATAGAATTTCAACTCCTATAGTGAGGAAAATGCTGGAACAAAACAGGGAGTCGATGGCCAGCAGGTTGAGGGGCAGTGTGCAGAGGTGACCTGAACAGAAGAGGGGGAATTAGCTAGTTACTCAGAGAAGGAAGACTTTTCATACAGGCTATGGTTTGGATGTCATTTGTCCTCCAAAGATTCTAGTGCTGGAAGCTTAGTCTTCCATGTGGCCATGTGGGAGGTTGGAAAATCTTCAATAGGTGGGGCTTAGGGCCAGGTAGTTTGGGCATTGAGGGTGCTGTATTTTTCTTCCAAATATAGCACCCTCAGTGGTGCCCAGTTACCTCTCACAGGTGCCCAGTTAGCCCCCACAAGAGTGGGTTGTTCTACATGAGCAAGTGGAACCTGAATCTATACCTGGCCCTCTCTAATCACACAATCTCCCCATTACTCACAGTCCCACCATGGTGCCATCACCTTGAAGCCCTCACCAAACACTAGATGGAGCCATTTGACCTTGGACATTCAGCCTCTAAGGCTGTGAGCTAAATAAACTTTTTTTTCCTGCAGTTGAACCCAAGGCCTTCACACAGAGCTACATCTCCAGTCTTTTGTTTTTGTTTTTTGAGACTAAATTGCCCAGACTGGGCTCAAACTTGCAATCCTCTTGCCTCAGACTCCAAGTTTTCTAGGATTATAGGTGTGTACCTCCATGCCCAGCTATTTCTTTTCTGTACAAAGTACCCAGCCACAGGTATTTTGCTATAGCAACAGAAAATGGACTAATAGAGTGGAGAAAGATGTGACTGGCAGGTGCTCCCTCAAGAAAGATGGCTGACCTGATAAACATCTCTAAAGGATCTCTCTGGCCTCCATTTCCAAGATGGGGACCAGGAGTTGTCAGGTGAAGGCCCTGAGCAGAAAACAGACAGGGTCTCTGGGCAGGGTGGCAGTGGTGGAGATGAGAGGAACAGCAGAGGTGGATTACACTGTAGAGGTAAAACTGGCAGGTTTGGCAGTAGCACAGACAGTAGTCCCTGAGGGGGATAACAGGATAGGAGCAGGTAAATGGAAGGTCCTTCTGCTCAGGGCATAGCTTAGGACATGACAAAGTGTTCCTCCCTGTGCTATCCCTGCCTCACCAACCAAGAGGATTGCACAGGCTGGATATTCTTCACCAACCTAAGCTCAGGGGAGCCACAACTTCCTTCAGTTCTCAAGCTAATGGGATGCAGAAAAGTAGAACAAGGGAAGAGGAAAAGTGGACCAAGGAAGCCAGGGTTCCAATTCCAGGTGCTTGTGCTCCCCTAGGATTCTGTCCCTGGCCACTGATGCTTCCTCCCGGAAGCCAGGGTAGCCTCACAGCTGCCAGATAAATGGGGCAAGGCTCCACAGTACCCAGCATGGCCCAAAAGGGCTAGCTAAAGGGTCAGCCCAGTGGCAGATGTGTGACCCTCAGGCTATAGAACTTGCTGACAAAGTTGTGGTCTCTAGAATTAATCTTGGACTCCACACAAGTAATGTGTCTTCAGGGCCACACTACTCAGCTTTCTACACCTGTGTCCCCTCTGCCCACTCAGCATGCCCTGTGCCTGCCTGCTACCTGGACCTCAGTATATCACTTGTTAGGTGTGACTGAAGCACTCTGTACTGCATGGGGAGATCTGTGGAAGGTGCTGAACCTGTGCTGTGAGGAAAGCACCCAGAGGACCTCAAGTGGACCCTCAAGATCTCATCCTTCATCTTCCTTCCTTTCTGCATGTGATGCATCTGCTGATCCACAGGTACAGATGATGGAGCCAGAAGATGCCCAGCATCTGTCAGTTTGAGTCTTTGCTCTACAAGAATTGGGAGGGCTGGGGATTAAGGTCCTGAGTTTGAACCCTGGTATCAAAAAGAAAAAAAAACTGAGAGCTCTGTGATGACACACAGCACACACTGTGACATGGTTCACTGCATTGGCCACTTCAGGTCTGAAGGTCTAAAAAATCATGTGTCTTTTTCCCAGCAGCTACTAGAGATTCTCAACCAAGATCAGAAGGTAAACAGGATGAGGAGAAAGCAGGGATGAGGGAACTCTGCCACCCTGGATTGTGCTGGAGCCAGGCAGGAGCCAGGGATTCGGCTGCTCTGCAGCCCACCGTGAGTTGTGCATGTTTGTGCATGTCACACTCTGAAAGATTTTGTTCCCATCAGAACACGGCAAGGCTCTCTACAGCCCAGGCTGCTCCAGCCCATGCAGAGTCTGTGCATCTCAGACACTCTGATGCAGACATAGGTCCATGACACACAAGGAGAATAGACTGAGGGAGCCCAAGGGAGCCCACCAGTTCTGGGAAGGCAGT